CATTTTGGCAGGGGCGGGGGACAGGGACATCAACGTAAAGATATAAAACTGGGAGTGAGAGGGATGGAGGCTCAGAAGGCAGAGAGAGCTTGCCTATACTAGCAAAAGTTAATTACATAGGGGATCTGCAAAAAGCAAAGGTCATTAATGAAACATACCTTTAGTTACGCATGTTGCCTAGAGAGCCCTGTGCAAAGCCTGGGAGTCTCCTCCCTAGCTTGCTCTGAGGGCCTTGGGGCTAAGGGGAAGGAAAACTTGGGGGCAGCCCAACCCCAAGCCTCTGGGCTTTGTTCTGCAAGTGCCCACCACAGGATTTAGAAACATCTGGAGCCCCACATGGGGGTGGAAGATGTCTGCTGGTAGCAGGGCCACCTATGGTCCTGGACTGCCTCGCAGACTTGGAACTGGATTTGGCTTAGAATATGGATACGTTTAATTTAAAAAAACAAAAAAACCCAAAACAACCCCTATGCGTAGCCCTCAAGTCACCGTCAGCCCCACTGCGATGGCTGCAGGGTCGAGGGCTGTCCAAAAGCAAGATCACTCGCTCTGTGCTGCTCTTTGCTTTGCAGGGAACTCCCAAGGACACGAACCCAGGAACAAATCAGTGGCGTGCTCGTGCCCCTGCTGCAGAGGTACCAGCTGGTTCTGGATGAAGGAAAGCAGGAGAGAGAAGTCCCTTAGATAAAGGGAAAGTAAAAATCCTCCCCACACCTCCCGCAAGCCAACTGGGTGTGTGGTCCCTCTGCTCCCATTGCTGCAGGGTCGCCAGGGGAAGCGGATCTCCCCACTTCCCTCTGCAGCATGACCCCTGCAAGCAGGAAGCAAACCCGGCAGCTCCCACCCCTACCTGCATGCAGCCCTGGGGGAGGGACCCATAGGCACTACAAGCTCTGACCTCACTTCCCAGAGGCGGTGCAAACCCTGCCTGCACCGGGTGTGGACGCAGCTGTGGTTGAAGGCTGAGCCTGTCACATGATCCGAGCCAGGACCCGAGCGGAAGCTAATCAAAGCCCAGGCATAAACCCCCTATGAGCTTTTGCAAAGCAAAGCGGGCAAGCGTAAGATTTTGGTGCAAACAAGGCATTTGGGGTGGGGTTTTGACTGGTCCTTTTCCAGCCCTTTTTTGCCTGCTTTTCTCTGCAGCGGTGTCGTGCAGAGGGATTTGAGTTTCTCAGAGAAAACGGGGATGTTGGTTATAGCCATGTCGGTCTAAGGACATAGGGAGGCAAGGTTCTTTGAGTAAATGTGCAAGTAGGATGCCTGCCAAAGGTTTTGGGAACATCTGAAGCCCCACATGGGGGTGGAGGATGTTTGCAGGTAGTAGGGTCACTTATGGTTCTGGACTCTTGGATTAGTTTTGGCTAACTTGGTCTGGGACGCATACAATTTAAGAAAGTGATTAAACTGACCAAATAGTTAGGACAATTATTCTTTGCACAAATGGCACAAACATGCTTCTTCAGGCACAGAGAGAGCCTGGTGCTGTTTCACAGTTTCATGGTTGGGTCGGAAGGGACCTGAGCAGATCATCAAGTCCGACCCCCTGCCATGACAGGAAAGAGTACTGGGGTCAAACGACCCCGGCAAGGTGTTCATTCATCCAGCCTCCTCTTAAAGACCCCCAGGGTAGGAGCCAGCAACACTTCTCTTGGAAGTCGGTTCCAGATCCTAGCCACCCTGATGGTGAAGTAGCGCCTCCTGATGTCTAGCCTGAGTTCTTCTGCATGGAAAAGCAGCCAAAATGCAACGTGCAAAATGCAAACAGGCAAAATGCAGGTCAGGGAAAGCAGAGATGGGTGGGGAGTCGCTGGGGCAGAATGTTCAGAGCCATGCACTATTTAACACATGGCTTGTGCACTGGTGGCTCTGAGAGCAGCCCCTGCGCTGTTGCCTTCTGCTATAGTGCTGGACTCCTGGGTCCAGAGAAGGACCACAGGAATGATGAAGGGCCTGGAGGACCAACCTTACGAGGAAAGACTAAGGGATCTGCTCAGCCTGGGGAAGAGAAGACCAAGGGGGGACATGGTGGCTGTCTATAAGCATCTAAGGGGTGAATATCAGGAGCTGGGAGAAAAGCTGTTCACTAGGGCACCCCAGGGGAGGGAGGACCAGGAGTAATGGCCATAAACTATGCGGCGGTTCCCAAACTCTGGCAGATTGTGCACCGCCACTTTAAAACAATACAACCTTAAGTACCACCAGCACATGTTTCAGTTCAACCTTAAGTACCACCAGCAAATTTTTGTCATATGATCATTGATGATTATTCAAGGTCTCTTCCAGCGAGGGTTGACAACTCCTGGATTGGCCGGGAGTCTACCAGAATTGTCATCACTCTCCCAGTGACTATTGAAAGCAATCCAGGAGATGGATATGGTGAACGGGTTGAACAGTACAATTAATGACATCTTGGGACAAAAAATCTCCTGGAATAGCTTCAGTCACTGTTGGCAACCCTATTTGCAGCCATCTGATGGGTCCAGGGAAGGAACTATACCAGAACTACACATCAAACGGCTACTCAGCACAGCTTGCAAAGACGCTCCTGTGGACCCTAAGGGACAGCCTTCCCTCTTCAGCTCCCTCTGCAAAAAGTGAAGTTTATTTCTTACCCATGGGGACTTTTTATTATCTATACTTTAGCTCAGAGCCTGACGAAGGGACTTGGATCCTGGAAGTTTGCAGAAAAGGACCATTTTCTTGGAATAGCCCAATTGGTTTAATAAAAGGTATCATTTTGGAACCAAGGGTTGTAGTTTTTTTGTATTTATACTATTTCCAGCCCTTCGTTTCTAGGATTCTCAATGCCAAAAAGCAGGAGAGGGTTGGCGGGGGAAGACAGGAAATATCTCCCCCCTGCTTTGCTTTTCCTGTTTGCAAGGAGGAGCTGGCTGATGGATGGAGGAGGGAACAGTCTGCTCTGCAAGCCCAGAGCCTGTTTGGGTGTGAGTGCAGGGAACTGTCTGAAAAGGGGTGCAAGCCTCTGAGAGAGGCACAACCCTGCTCTTGCACAAGGCAGACCCTGGCTGCGATGCAAGGGGCTTGTGTGTGCTGGGGGGGGGTGCTGTTTGTGTTGTTTGCACTGAGGGGGTATCAATAAAGTTGTTGTTGCAGGGCTGTCTTTGAGAGCGGGTGTTCATAAAGCTGTTGTTGAAGGGTGGCCCTTTAAGAGTCCCTAGGGGACCTTCTTAACAGGAAGGTGACTCCAGCATTGCCTGCTAGGGAAACGCCACTATTGATGCCGCAGCACGGTAACCAGGCTGGCTAGGGGGCTGCGAGGATACCTCGAGTCCCCTCCTCACTACAAACAGCATTTTTCAAACAGGCAAAGCTGCGAGCACCTACAGGAGAGGCTTCAGGTCACAAGAGGCTATTGTCACGATTGGGCGCATGCGCCCCGAGCCCCAGATCCCTGCCCCTCGGGGAAGGAACGACGCACCGTACCTCCTGCGCGCGCGCACATGGGCCGAGCGCCTCGCTCCTCCGTCCCGGCGGGGGGGTGGGGCCGGCCTATGCGCCTGCGCAGGAAGGAACGCGTAGCGCGGCCGGCTTAGTGCGCCTGCGCGGCGGAGGGGCGGGGCCGACAAGCGCCCACTGCGCCTGCGCAGGAGGCGGAGACGCCGGAAGCGGCGGTGTGAGGTGAGGGGGATTTGTTCCCTGCGCCCC